AAGTCACATTACCCAAGTAACAGGATAGATTGCTGTAACTTATGTTAGTTTCTACAAGTTAGCAAGTTTAAGAGTCTCCGGAAAGGTTTACTTAGAAAAGATGCTGAAGTTGCGTTATTCTTGACTTTTCTGGATGAAGTTCCAAAGCGCTGAAATCTCCCTTCTGTGTCGCAGAAGTCTGAAAGGGAATAGCTGGGTTTTCATCTCAGAATTCGAGGTCTGCGACATAGGTAATTCACTGCATAACCAAGGTCATCCAGCAGGCGCAAGTGGAGGAGTGGGGAATCAAACCCGGTTCTCCCAGATTGGAGTCCGCGCACTTAACCACGACACCAAACTGGGAAAGCTGACGAGGATAAAGCAGAAGCCGGTGTGTGGTAAGAGAGGAGGAAAAAAGCAAGCCTGTTGCTGGCAACCACTAGACTACTTGGCGAGACTGTTCCTGGGGAAAGGCTGCCAGGGGGAGGGAAGATAAAGGTCAGCTGGCTGGTGGGTGAGAAGGAGGTAGGAAAAGGGGGAGAGGCTATGGGGGGCTGTCCAAAAGAGAGAAAGAGGAAATAGTTGGGAGGAGAAAACGAGATGCCCCCTGGAAGTCACTGCAGGTCACCCACGTGTAACTTCTAAAACACTGATAATTTAAGAAAGTCAGGAGTCATCTAATGTGGCCAGATTCAGTTGCCGTGATCTTTAGGAAAACCGTCATCGATAACAGGACTTTACTTGCAGTGTAGCTTCCTGCTTTCTTGAACGGCACCATTGGGAAGTTCTAGAATTCCCCCGTCAAGCATGTTTTTCCTCCTGCCATCCAAGGCAATTGTGCTTTCGATCAGATCCTAGTATTGGTCTTCAGAGCAATCTCTCCGTTCTTTTCCGGAGTCCATAATACAGAGCCACGTTTCTTAGGGTGTATGTGTCACAAAATGCAAAAAAAAAATTCTACGCTGGGGGTGTTCTGTTTCTGTGTGGAAACGGTAATTAAAAAAACAGCTTGTGATTTTTGAAGGCTTGTGTTAGATAAACGTTCAGGTCCAACCTGTGCTCTGGCACTTCATCGGTGAAGGCATTGTAAATCTCAAGGGGGTCTGTTGCAATTGCTGCCCAAGACCTTTGCTCCGCTTGGGTCTGTGTACAGTTATCTGAACTGATTCAAGGGCAGGATTTGTTAAGACAGTGCCTGTATTTGCACGCCTGCCTTGCGTAATCTCTCTTCCACATACACTCCCTTAACCTTTTTTTGTGTGTGCTTAATCTTTATTCTCCATGCTTGTATAACTTTCCCTCTCTGTTTTGCTTCGTCATTCTGTGTGAGCAGTGTACGTGTCTTAATGTCTTGGAAAATAGTACAACCCTTTTTTTTTTAAATGCAACAGTTAATATTGTGTAAGATTTTGATAATATTGCTAGGAGAGCTTCAAGTTGGGGAGACAGCCTACACACAGTCAGACTGAGGTGTTGGGGCAATTTTCTGGTGGGAGGCGCATCGGAAAGAGTAGTGTGTGGTTCCTCCATGTTCTTTTTAGTTGTGAGAACACTATTTAATTGGTGGTGGCAGAGCCCGGTTGGTGTAGTGGTTAAGTGCGTGGACTCTAATCTGGGAGAACCGGGTTTGATTCCCCACTCCTCCACTTGCTCCTGGCTGGATGACCTTGGGCAAGCCGTAGTTCTGACAAGAGCTGTCCTTGAAAAAGAGCAGTTCCTGTCAGAGCTCTCTCAGCCCCGCCTACCTCACAGGGTGTCTGTTGTGGGGAGGGGAAGGGAAAGGAGATTGTAAGCTGCTCCGAGACTCTGAGTGAAGGGCGGGGTATAAATCCAATCTCTTAAACTGAGCAGAACCATTATACTTCGCTGCTACCAGGTGACCAGCCCATCAGGAGATCAGGGCAGGGTGTAGGGATCGCTAGGGCAATTTCGTATTTTCGTGGTGGTGGGATGCAAGTCTATCTGGCCCATTTTGGCCCTGCTAGCATTGGCTGAGTTTGGTTGGTGCAGGTGGGGACAAAAAGAGTGAGGAGAAAAACACATAAAAATAACGGGATAAACAGCAGCTGCAGGTGTTGGAGCTATGATTTAAAGAAGTTGTTCTTGTTTTACGACGGGGGGGGGGCACTGATATCCTGGAATATGAATCCTACCTCGATGTTTTTGTGTGGGCCTTTTTAAAATCACCAAGCGAGCTCATTTAGACCAAGTTTCGCATTCTAATTTAGATCAAGTTTCGCATTCTGAAATGCATACGTTTTCTGATCCAAGTGTGCCTACTAACCGGTTGTCAGGAGAATCTGAAAATAACTGGTTTACAACTAAGAAGAGCGCTCACAGCTTTCCTGGAGCAAAGAGACTGGTCGTTTCTGCACAACGGTAGAATTTTTTCCAGTGAGTTGTAAAGTAAATACCTGAGCTGTATGGTTAGAACAATAAGAGATTCTTAACTTGAGAGTTGTTTCCTTTATGGAAAATTGTTTTGTTTGTTTTTTTAACAGCCGCAAAAGGGCTGAATTTTTTTATTGCATTTTCTAAATAAAAATTTAAAAAATTGTTGATGAAGAGCATGCAGTGGGGGGGCTCTGTCAGTTCTGACTCTGGTGAAGTGCCGTTTAGGATGATTTGCTTGTCTCTGGGTCGAGTGCGAAATCCATAATATGAAGCATGACTTACTGGGTGCGTTCAGACGGGGCGTTTCAGCCGGCATAAACTGTACCGGTTGGAACCGGTGCAGTTTATGCCGGCTGAAACGCGATCACACTCACCTCCTGTCTGCTGAGCCCATTGCTGTATGCCCGTTCACATGCAGCGGGCGTCGGCATTTTTTTTTTAACTCAGTTTGAGCATGCGCATAGGCAGCCATCCACAGAATGGCGATCTTTGCGCATGCGCAAACCCCCCCCCCATCTTACATTTAAACTTTAAAGGTAAGGACTTACCTTTAAAGCTTAAAGACCAAACTGGCCTCCCTGAAGTCCCAGACTCCTCTGAAATGTTAAACTAAGAACCTTTTCTTCTTTTTTTAAACAAACGCCAGGGCGAAGCGTCGCCCAAGCGCATATCGCCAACCTTTTAAAAAAAATGGTGGGCGAAAATCGGAAGCCTCGGGCTTCCGAACGGAAGTGGCTCTGCACCGGTGGAGAGCGATCAGAC